CCACCACAATTATGCGATGTGCCAACTTGAAGTGACACCTGCCATGGATGTTCTTCGATGGACGTCTCGAAACCGCCAACAATTAGTCGATCATCGACAGGACTTGCTGCGATTCAATAATGACATGAGTAAATCAATGATAGAATTTCTCGAAGTTACAACTTTACCTGATGCCAATCCGATCACCAATGCAACTAGCACAAATTTTAACATTTTGGATTGATTGATTTTTGATTTTCACAAACTAGATCAGTAGCGATATAAGTGAACTTACTGCATGAATTGAATTCGAAGCAGTTTTTACGCTTATTTATACTATCCAGTTTTAAAATATTTATCGTTTATCATTGTTTATCGACTTCAACCAAAGGGACGACACGTTTTGACGAAGTCTACGGTGAACTCATGAACTATCGAAAAGTCAATACAAAACGATACGAGAGTTCGTGGCGCTGCGAGCGCTCAAATGATGTTTGTACTGAAGTGTCGTCAGCTTGACTTCAACTATGCTGCACACTTTCATTTTTTGTTTACTTTTTCACTGCTTCAAATTAATGTAAGAATGATGATACATTGTAGAGAATATGCGTTGTACGCCTATCAGTCAAGTGCACTTCTTCTTGCACTTGACCGATTTTCAACCAGACAGTGAAATAGTTCACAAATGAATCATCATCGCAAATATGTTTTGATGGTCAGTTTCATTGGATTGAACTTGAATCGAAAGTCAAAAATTTAACTGTTTGAATCGATTAAATATTTGCAAAGTTTGGTTGTCACTGGGCAATTGAAATTCTTCATTAAATCGGCCGGAATGTTGGCATTTACTAATGGTTTGAAGTCTTCATTTGAACACTAATAAGTTAATCCGCTAAAATTCCGTACAGAACGAAACAGATTGTAATTGAAAATATATTTTCGCATTTTTGACATCGTTGACATTTGCCTGAAATTATTTCGCTATTGGAAAATCAGTCGTAAATGGAATCAATAAAATTTGTTTGAAACTTGTGCACAATTTATCGTTTCCTATAAGTCAATGACTTGCATTCGATCAAGTTGAGTGGTTTTTTTTCTGTACAATTTCTTTGCTTTATTTTATTATCTAACCACGTAAAATCCCAAGTGGAGGAGCCACACTTAATGAGGCACGTTTTATGGTTGAAGTAATTGTATAGAGACAAGAATAGATGATTTAATTGCTTCAACTTTTAGTAACGTTCAAATGAATCTCTCAATAGACGAGAAGATTAAAAAAAACAGCGATTTTTTCTTCAATGGAATAGACAGTATCCCATGTTGAAATAATTGGAATGGAGACAAAAAAAAACAGTATAGATTCATTCAATCATTTTATTTCCATTTCTTTCAATAATCAACGCAATTTCAAATGCCAGTTTGAGTTTTAATCCATGAACGAATTAACGGTGCTGATACACGAGCATAGACACCCGGGTAGTTTTTCTGGGCACATCCAGCCCCAAATGAAACGACACCCAATAGTTTGGTAACACCATCATGTTCATAAGTCATTGGTCCACCGGAATCACCTTATGTTCAGATATTCATTAGAAATTAAATTCACACTGTAAATATTTTGAGCCATATTTTGATTACCTTGGCATGAATCTTTACCGCCTTCTTGGTAACCAGCGCAAATCATTCGAAGAGTTATTCCTCCTTGGTATTGTCTGTTACAACGAAATTGATTGACAATAGGAACTATAGCAGCCCGTAAAATTTCATTCGATTCACTAGCATTTTGTGTGGCTCCCCAGCCGGAAATCAGGCATTTCGTTCCATCAGCAATTTTTGCATTGAACTCAGCCAACTCAACGGATTGCACTTCTTGTGTGAATGTCACTGCTTCGGCTAATTCCAGAAGGGAGACATCAAAGTCCATCGTACCGCTATTGTATTTTTGGTTTTGAATCACTCGTTTCACACCTATAATCTGGCCACCGATCAGTTGATAAGACGAACCAACTCGAACAGATAAATTCTTCACGGATGTTCCACTAGAAAAGTTCAATCAAAATTTCATCTCTTCCGATTTGATTGAGATTTAAGAGATTTTTGCTTAGTGCAATGCACTAGTATATGCAAACTTACTCAGTACAATGCGCTGCAGTGAGCACCCAACGGTTTCCGATAATTGATCCACCACAGCGATGTGATGTGTAGTATCGTAGAGATATTTGCCATGGATTTTCCTCAATATTGGTTTCGAAACCGCCGACAATTCGATCGCTTGGCCGAATTGGATGTGGTCGCGAAACATTAAGCGGATTTGCTAAAATTGAAGCGACATATTGAATGACTAATTCTAACACTTGGAATAATTGCTACTCCTACCTGAAATCCAACTAATCAAGAAAATATTTGACAACAGGACAAATTTAAACGAACCCATGTTTGAAATTAGAAATTGAATAATCGGACCGGTAAAACTCGAGATATTCAATACTTGATTTCGAAAGATACCGCTTCTAACAACTGATTCTCTCAACTGCGAACAACTGTATTTATATTATTCTTAGACGCGTTGTATCAAATTGTCGAGCTAAGAGAATGCAAGATGTTTTTTTGGTAATAGAATCATATAGACAACAGTGTCATTATCACTGGGAATTTATCTGCTCGTGTGCACTAGTACATCGCAATCGCAAAAAACGATTCTTTTTTCATATGATAGATCATCATAAAAAAAATTTGTTCAGCAGCTGGAGAACATAACGATAATCTGATATTCTGTTGACTTAATGTATTATTCCTTATCTTCGGGTTTGTTTATTATTTTGGCGAACAAAAATGAACAAATGGAAGCGAGAAAAAAATGGAATCGTATCAAATTTTCGCTTACGGCAACATTGAGATGAATGAAAAAGAGCACTCGTGTATTTTTCTCACGTCAACATCACAGACATTGATATGCGATAAAAATAGTATCGATCTGTCGAATCAACAGAAAACGTTGGCCGATGATGTAACGTACATATGTCATTCAGTTGCCTAGTCAAGCTGTAAAATATTTCCGACACACAAAAAAACGTTGTCATTTCGATATGAAATGGATGTGTGCTGAAAGTAGGCCTGGCATGGATTAATTTGATCCAATTATTTGGCGTCACCATGTGAAAAAAGGCATCATATCCAAAATATCCAATTTTACCAGAATTCATCCGACTAATTGCAATCGACAAAATTCGGCTGGATGCTAATTTCAGGAAACCAACACCAAATTGGTGCGCAAATGTTTGAAAACAAAAAACAAGTGATGCAAAATACACAGAACGTGTACGCTATTATCATCAATAAAATCATCACACCAAACACACGGTTTGAAGCTTTCACACAGATAATCTGATTTTATCAACGTAAACGGTTTATTTTACCACTTGGATTAGGTGAGATAGCGTTAAATGACGATCAGAGGAGTAAAACTACAATTTAATGACGCGCATTCGGTTTTTTTCATTCACTTTTGTGATGAGATAAAAACAAATAGCTATTTGGTACGTTTCATCAGTGCTTTTCCTTATAGTAGTATGACGTCACGTTTTTTTTCGATGGAAATAAGTAGAAAAATGGACCGAATAATAAATCTTCTTTCTATAATTCAGCATTTTTGCATTCTTTTGTGCTCTTCATCCACCTTAATCCATGACATCGATAAAAATTCATTGAATTTTTTTACGAAATCGATCAAAATTCAAATTAAGCTTGGGTACTTTGGTTTGTCTTTATTTCGTCGCGTGTATTAAAATAGCCTCAAAGTTTGCGACAAGAAAAGGATTAAAAAAGGCTGGAATCTCATTATGAAAACGATATTTCCGATTGCTGACAGTGAATAAGTTTCTCCATCGAAAACTTGGAGAAAATAATGTAATTTGCGTAAACTTTCGTCTTTGAATGTCGAATTCATGTTGCGAAACGGTTGCTTTTGTCGCCACATAGACAGAAAGTGCGTGATAGAACGAGCGAACGAAAGCGTTCGAATGAATCAAATGGCCAATTGAAAATGATATAGTAAAAAGTGGAGCAAAGCGAACATATCTGCGCAGCAGTGCACAAACCCACATCAGTATGTAACGGATTTTAAACGATATGGCATTGGGAAAAAAAGCGCCAAGACAAATGGATTTCATCGGACCAAACAGAGAGCGAACGGAATACACACTATAACCTAATAAAAGAGCTGGTGTCCTTTTTTTGCATTCGTGGATGGAAAAAAAACAGCAACCAAACAACGAAGAATGGGAATTCAGCAGAATGAGTAGGATAAAAATATCGCAAAATGGGAAAACTTATGCTCGAGCTGATAACAAATAGTTGTATGTGTGTCATTTGGTTGGTGTGTGTTTTTTTTTCTGCTGTGCCCACTTCCGTTGTTCGTGGCTTTGTTTCTGCTGTTTGTTGTTCTTTACATGATATCTGCCACTTTTGCGATCCCGTTTGTTCGGCACGAACCATGAAGCGCGCAACGGAGACGAAAACACAAGAATCGGACGAAAAAAAACGACGGAATAAATGGCAAACAAACTGCGTGTGTGTTAAGCAAATAGCTTTACGTAAAGCCAAAAGATACGTAGATAAATCGTTATTCTTATCTGTCACAGTGCATGACAAAAAATAGAGAAACCGTAAAATAAACCGAATTCACATCATATATTATAATGATCATATGAACTGGATGCAATATATTTTAGAATTTTCACACCACTTAAAACATGCGGCGATAGGCCGCAGACAGAGAAAGGCGAACGAGCGCTGGAAAGAAAAGTGTATGCCGAGGACGACAACAGTAACAGCAGAGATATGGGAAAACGAGAAAAAAACAACACACTTGCACCATTCGACTGATATAATAGCAACGATATGTCCACTATGGCACTTTTACAGATAAACATTCTTTTTACGATTATTATTTATTTAGTCGAGCTGCTGACGACCACCCGAAACTTTCCACCGCGTTTTTTTCCTTTCTCAGTGTCAGATGTTCGAAGCTGAGGCGGTGATCACAAGTGCTCAAGTGTGTGTTTGTGTATATTTATATTACGTTATCATCATATATGATAACATCCATTGCGTGTGGCCCAAAATATCACCGACCGAACCGAAGATATTTCATATTAGCTTTTATGACAAGCAATTCAAGCAAAATAATTTATTATTGATACGCACCCTTATCAGTTTACCCTTTCCAATGAAAATGGTCACTTAGTCTTTGGATTTTGACGGGTTTTTCCGCTTCTTCAGAAATATGAAAAACGAATAATTAAATATTACAGACAGACAGTCGACGATTTCAACATAACTATGCATGAGCTATATCGCTTTTAAAAGTAATCATTTTTCGTGTCGTATTTCGGTTACGTGAACTGTGAAATTGAAGTGTATCGAAGCAAGTGATACTCGAAAATCAAGTCATTCGTTTCGAGTTGGTCGCATTTTAACCATTAATTTTCAAAGACACCAATCAATATCCATTGGTTATATCAAAGTGGATATCGAATGGAATCCAATATTTATCAAAAGTTTCAACATTCATCAGTACAACAAATACCTGCGAACCGATGTTACCATTTGAGAAATGAAGCCCTTTTTTGGAACCAATATCATCGAACTTGAAAAAAATACGATTGTTTTCGAACAATTCGCATGCGGAAACCATAAAACTCTTTTTCGCATTACAATTTTTAATTAATTTTTACTTTTCCGTTATTAATTTTTCACGTATTGTGGGAAACGCGGTGTGCTTCGTTCACGTCTATCGAACGTGAGTTTTGTTTGAAAACGGCACCGAACCCGTTTTCTTTTCACAACTCGCAGGTGTTTTGTTTGTTGATGCCATTTGTTTGCGGTTGTAGAGTGAAGCGAGCAATATCGACTCTCGCAACTACCATGGAAAATAGAGAATTTTTTTTTATAGCGATTGATGAACAAATCCTACACAATCGAAGCACTCTCTCACTCTCTCAACGCAAATGAACAAAAAAAACCTCGGCGCACGGAAGTTTGGAATCTTGTTCTTGATTTCTTACCATAATTATCACTAGAACACATGTATCATTGTTTATTTTCACATTCGGATCGCGTTCGAGGCTATGATTATGGCAAGGTGCATATATGGAACGGCGGGTGAACTTTGTGCACACAGCCAAAACAGAAACAAACAAACAGAAACAATCATTTATCATTGCAGGTGTGGTGGTGGTTGAAATTTGTACGCTGAATCAGTCAGTGTATTGAATGCGCCGAGCAAGATACGAAGCAAGAGTAAAGGCATAACATGGTTGCATAAGAACACTGAAGGCACACACTAACAGGTGACTTGAGTTTGTGTAGCTTAGCGTGGATATTTCGGCGGTGAAAATCATGGTAAAAGACGAATGAGCGGAAAGAAAAACATAACAACCACCATTGAGTTTAGCGTTCATTGTTTTTAATTGTTTAGCCGGGGAGTTTTTATTCTCCATATCTCTGGGCGGGTGCGCAATATGTACTACACTTTTAATTGATATATCCGTCGGTGTTGCATTCAATTGCTGTTTCTGTCTTTAAAAGCACTCTCATTCGATCATTGTTTTCTTATTCTCTCGCTCTCGCTCCCGCTCCTGCAATTAGTGCTTCGCATGGTAGAAGTTTTCCCTTGGCGTTCAACAAAATCCAAACGAAATGGGAAGAATAACCACCATCTTCACGATTATGAATTGGAGAAAGTAATTGATAAAAGTGTTTTCGTTTCGGTTGTGAAATTTATTCGTCAGTTTCAATTTCACTGATGAGGCTCACGAGAGAGTGGTTTTGATCGTAAATAAAATCGGCTGTGATGTAAAATAGCAAAAGATTAATTAATCAACGACTTACCAACTATCGATAGATAGACGAATTTGCCAATGGGCGGCGTGGTTGAAATTTGACACTGTAAATATAAATCGAAAAGTAATTTCGATTAATGACCATATTTCAGACATCAGGCGAATCGAGCAAAAGATTTTACCTCATAAATTCCTGAATCCTTTCGTTGAGCATATCGAATTCGTAGCGTCCATTCTTCGGTGTGCGGTGAATGCAATGCCTCGAATCGCTGGTCAGATGTGTATGTATATCGGCCGACTGTGAGCAAATGAATATCCCGATGTCGCACCCACGACACCTGTGTATCGAACACAAACGAATAGAAAAAAACAAATCCAGACGATATTAAAACAATTGCTATAACAACACCCGAGACACACTGAGTTATACATTGATAAACGCAAAAATCCAGACGAAATATATTAATTATAAATTAAATGGATCACCCCCACCCCTTCCCCAACTAGACCGAAATGTTATTGTTCTTATTGAGATAAATAACTGGGAATGAGAGAACCATTCCAACGGCAATAACAATAGAGTTCGCAGGTGGCAGGAGTGTTTTTGAAGCGATTGCTGGCGAGCAACACATAAGAAATCGATTAATTTCGAAATCCTTTGCAAAAGTGTATTTACGGAGGCAGCACTTAATCACTTGACGGTGCTTGCATTAAATGACGTAAAACCAATTGATGCACACCAAATTTCGTTTTTTTTTGTATGTGGGTATGTCTGTCGGCGCGTGTCTTACTTGCTTGGGATACAACTAGATGCTTTATTTAGACGAAAATGTTGGCTGATTGATGTCGTGCTTATGGCTTGTAAATAACAGCTTACAAGACCCACTGACTCTGTGTTACCATGTCTGAAATGATGGATACTCGTGACACCAATGAATAATTAACAAAGATGTGCTTTTAATCGGCATTCAAATGGATTTCAGCCATTTTTCATTTGACGCGCGCTTCTTTTTCTCACTTGGTTCCTCTTTCTCTTTATCTCTTTGCTCTTGCTCTCCCATTTTCTTGTGTTTGTAATGAATTTTTAATCAGAAAAAAATTATCTCATCCATTGGTGATAGAAATTGGTTTCACTCTAGTTCGTACGCTCAGACACTTGTCAAATCAAAGACCGTGTAAATTCGTTCAACAAAAAATGCTCGTTCAACTGCTAAACATCTTCTTGAGAATCAAAGGCCACAATTCTGCAAAATTCTAATTTAACTTTTGCCAAACTAAAATCTCATACTGAAACTCGAAATCGCCAGTCAAATGTTAATTGTGCGGAATTTCAAGCACGCTTCAAATGTTCACCTACGCATTCCGAGAATATTACGAAACAAGTGTCGTACACGCGCCCCGACAATTCCACCTTCTTTTTTGCACACGTAATTTTCCAATTTTCTCATCATTACCGTTTTCCAAGCGAATAACAATAGAATCAAATGAGAGAGGCCTTTGCGTTCAATATAGCCATATATATGTACATATATTCAAAGTTTAGTACACAATTTTCAGAACAGATAAGTAGCTCAGTTTACATACCGAAAATGCTATGATTATAACTATTAAATTTAATGAATAATTTAATTAAAATCTACTGCTGCAAACACATATTATAACAGCGAACAAGCGTCACCATCACTGAGTCGAGTGATATGAGCTGCCACGCGCACGATCCATGTCAAAATGCGATGCTTCAAAAGCGATTCATTTATTTGTCACATAATATTCGACGTGAATGTTGTACTCCCTTTGTCTTTGTTCGTCCGAGGCGGAGAAAAAACGTAATGGATTTTAAACAGTTTTGAATAAGCCGATATGCCGTTAAAGCGATCGATTTAATGCTCGGCTCCATTAAAAACTATTCTATATCGAAACATGTTTTATGGGCTTTCCCATCCAATTTCACCACAATAACAAGTATACACCATTTAAATTATCAACGATAATTTATTTCTCAATGAAGAACAAGAGAGAGACAGAGAGAATGGGGAAAAAATACAATGGTGTCAGGTCGTTGTGAAAATGAAATTGTGAATTTTCGGCGAACGTTTTCGCTATTCCCAATTAAAACCGCCCGCCGCCCGATTTGATGCACACGGCAGGTATCAGAAAAGCTATTTGGCTGGCGCACACAGCGACTGAATGAGAGTGAAATGGAATTAACATGGTACACATGGAAAATGGAATGTCAGAGGGATCTTCGAAATGGGCGAAACAACACGCAGCGCAAAACGACCACGTCATTCGGAATCGCATAGAATTTTATGATAAATTTGCTGACATGACATGTTCACAGGCGCACATCCAACACTCCTAATTATATTTCTGACACGCAATTTTATTCATCAGGCTGTAGAGAAATTGCGTTGCTTCATACTGTGCAAAACCAATTCATATGCTCACCGAGGACGTGCTTTTGATAGCATTTTAGAATTTTGTCCGATTTAATTCTGGCTTAAATTTTTTTTTATTTCTAAATAACGCACCGCAAGCGTATAGCATCGAAAAGCATGTGCGCAATTTTACGGTAAAAGTTTAAAATACATTCTGACACTATCCCAAATGGTTACAACAATCAAATGGGGATTGGTTTAATGGACATCGGAGACAAGAGTGACAGCATGGCACACACACATTTTGGAATATTTCATATATTTTTTTTCTGGTCCAATCAAGGATTCGGTCCTGTAATATATGTACTGTGCTTTGTACGCAGTCATTTAATTTGTTGCATCGCAACCCATTTGATGTGCGTTGAACTGGAAATTATTCACATCAAGCGCAAAAGTTGTGGAATTATTTGTATTCATTTGTAATTTAAGCGATGAATTTTAAGGTCAAACAGATGGAAATCTCAAGGAAATGTTGCATATTCACTGGGTGTATGTGTGTGTTTCACAAGCAAATCTTTTGTGTTGCGTCGGTGAATTGAGTATAATTTCAAGTCGATTTGCATATTTCACGGGGAAAAAGTGTGTGCCCTTTCTCTCTCTTGCATAATTGCCATCATCAAACAGTGAATGAGCGCGTTTGCGATTCGTATTAAGTGAGTGGCTCTATAATTGTGTAGTTCGTTTCTTGTTCAGTCCCCAGATAAATTAAAGATAATCCAATTTAATTAAAACGGACGTTTTCGTTATTGGTTCCTGTGCACATTTCCATTTGTGTTTGCTCGCCGCACACACACACACACTCTGTGCTGCTGCTGCTGCTTAATTACTGAATGTGGATTTTGCATTACACACTTGGCTGAAAATGCTCAACGCCATGAATTTCATTTATTTTGCACCCGAGAGTGAGGCAGAGGCGGCGGCGGCGGCGGCAGTGGCAGCGGTGAAAAAAAAGGATTAACCCACATAAGGTGTATTGCGGTTCATTGTGGTGCAATGCAGCGTAGCGCGCACATCCTTTGGCCACACCACCAGAACTACAATGATTGTAATGTGACATTGGCAAACAATTAAACGGAAAAAGCTGTTGAATTAACCAAATCCATGTTTCAGTGGCGAACTCAAATGTAGTCCTCATTTGCAATGCATATAAGCAATAGGGCTATTTATCTGCGACCATTTTGTGCCGATGCTGCTGTATCAAAATGTCATGAAATCCATTTCCAACGGAATCATTAACATAAATGAAGAGAGCACAGCGTTAATACGGCATCGAAAGCACATCAAATACACAAGAAGAATCAGTTTTTACGTGAAGAACACGTGCTTTGAACATCGATGCTCTCTTTTTTCCCCTTCTATTCGTTCTGTTGCTTTTTAGTTTTATGATAAACAAACCAAGGCCAGATTAACAAAGATCCGTAATGTGAAAAACTAAAAATGTGCATACATATCAAATTATCATATTTTCTATGCCGCTGATCAAATCTCAAATTAGAATGTAAATTTGATGTGGGTTCAGAGATGAACCGTATGGCAAATGAGAAGATATGCTTGAAATCGGGCCGAGAGATAAAAAGGGAGGGCGGAAGAGAGAAATGCGATATATGAATTTCATACTATCAACCGATTGCAACGAGTCTTTACCGTTTGTACAATACTTGGTTGTTGAAGGCGGTTCCTTTCCACTTTCAGTTGAGTACTCATTGAAAGCAAAGCATGCTCCATGACATGCAATTTCGGCAGAACAAAGGTAAAAAAAACGCGAAACTATACACCAAATTCCACTTTCATTCTATTTTGGCGAGCCGCAAGACATCACCGCTTGTTTTTTGTTCATTCCTTTTGCATGTTGATGAAGTAAAGAAAAAGCACCACACTCGAACTGTCAGAGACGGGTTTTTTTTCTCTCTGTGTCATATTCATCGCTATTTCCACTATTTCGTTCGGTTTATTTTTCCACTGTGTTCCTTGATTTGGCCCCATTTTTCCAACATGCGCTTTTATTTCCTGTGAATTTTCTTTTGGTTTTGAAACTTTGTGCAGCTTCTCATGTTATTTCATACATTGCAAACTATTCGAAATGGAAAATGCAGCATTCTCTTTTTTCCCACTCTCGTAATTTCGTTTTTTATTTTCCTCATTCGCCGAAACGTGAACGTGAATGAAGCAAAAACAAATATTTTCAAACATAATACAATTTATGATATAGTATTTTGTTGCCGAACACAAGCGGCACGGGAAATGTTCAGGTTTTGATTCTTTCTGCTTTTTTTCATCTGATTTTCTCTGCTTTTGCCATATATGACCGTATGTTAAAACCTCTTGAATGCATTGCATACGCTTCAGCGATACGAAATGGGAAAGAGCAGCTCTTTTTTTTTCTTCCTGCGCGCAATGTATAATGAAATGCAAAAGCCGTATGGGAATTTCGCAACAAAATAATAGTTTCGCTCAACATTTGCGTCGGGCACTGTTTCTCTGTGTGCTTTTTCACATTTCTCTCTTTCTCTTTCTTCACTTGCACACTCTCTGGCGATGTTTTATTAAGTTGTCGCATTCATTGTTCTCTGCTGGTACAGTTGAGCTTATGAGACGTATACATTTATGTCATTGATTTTTATGCTAAATTGTTCATAAAAGAATTGTCTGTTATTTTTTTGTCTGTCTTTTTTTTGCTTATGAACGCACTCGCTGCTTCATAATTTTCAACGACAATTTTGCTAAAATATACTTTCCGTGTCTATTACGTTTTCAATTTGAATGACCCAGTTCTTGGGACATGTGACTTTTTTTCTCGCGTCACTATGTTTTCGCTTTATGCTATCGGACTTCGATGCCATCGCTAGTGAAGAGCAAATAATGTGCAGAATTTATGGAACGATTATACCAGTATGTTTGTA